CGGGTGATCGAGGTGGAAGAAGGTAGGTGAAGGTTGGCTATGGTGGATGGGTGCGGGTGATGGAGGTGGAAGAAGGTAGGTGAAGGTCGGCTGTGGTGAATGGGTGCGGGTGATGGAGGTGGAAGAAGGTAAGTGAAGGTCGGCTATGGTGGATGGGTGCGGGTGATGGAGGTGGAAGAAGGCGGGTGAAGGTCGGCTATGGTGGATGGGTGCGCGTGATGGAGGTGGAAGAAGGTAAGTGAAGGTCGACTATGGTGGATGGGTGCGGGTGATGGAGGTGGAAGAAGGTAGGTGAAGGTTGGCTATGGTGGATGGATGCGGGTGATGGAGGTGGAAGAAGGTAAGTGAAGGTCGGCTATGGTGAATGGGTGCGGGTGATGGAGGTGGAAGAAGGCGGGTGAAGGTTGGTTATGGTGGATGGATGCGGGTGATGGAGGTGGAAGATGGTAAGTGAAGGTCGGTTATGGTGGATGGGTGCGGGTGATGGAGGTGGAAGAAGGTAAGTAAAGGTCGGTTATGGTGGATGGGTGCGGGTGATGGAGGTGGAAGAAGGCGGGTGAAGGTCGGCTATGGTGGATGGGTGCGGGTGATGGAGGTGGAAGAAGGTAAGTGAAGGTTGGCTATGGCGGATGGGTGCGGGTGATGGATGTGGAAGAAGGTGGGTGAAGGTCGGCTATGGTGGATGGGTGCGGGTGATCGAGGTGGAAGAATGTAGGTGAAGGTTGGCTATGGTGGATGGGTGCGGGTGATGGAGGTGGAAGAAGGTAGGTGAAGGTTGGCTATGGTGAATGGGTGCGGGTGATGGAGGTGGAAGAAGGTAGGTGTAGGTTGGCTATGGTGGAGGGGGTGACGGGATACAAAGTGACCCTTGGCCCCGCGTTGCCCGCTACCCGAGCGACCGGGCTCATTGCCCGCCGTACCCCTTAGTCCCGGAGGCAAAAACGGTTCCCACAGTACACAGTCCACAGTCTTTATGCAGAAAACACACAGTTGCAGCAGATCCAGTTGGCTGGGAATCTGCAGAATCTGCAGGTTGCGCTGTTTGCGGTAACTTACTGCTTTTGCTGTTTTTCTTGCCGGGGTGAAAATTCGGTGTGCTCAGGCCCGTGTTTCCTGCCCCAAACGTTATCATAATGACACAGGATTTGGTGGGCCCTCTCACTGTATCACAGGGAGGGCCTCCACAAAATTTTGTGTCATTTTGACAGTGTTTGGCCCAAGTTGCCCGTTTCGGGCGTCCGCCGGCTTTCGGCGAATAGTTCGGAAGAAGTCCGTTTTCTGATTTCTTCAGAAAACGGACTGCGACGGCCTGCTGGGTCTGCAGGCCGTCTGTTCATACCCAGAATATGAGGTCTGAGCATTCTCAGACCTCATCCCCAAGTTTCTGTAGTGCTGCTGCCGTCGTGCCGTCGGCCGCATTCCGTCCGATTGCGGTTTTCGCATGATCTTTGCAACGACGGTGGTTACCCTGTCCTTTCCCCGGCTCAGCAGTCTATGCTGGCCAGGTTCCGTCCAGGACTGCAGCCCTACAGCTACCAGCAAAGGGAAAGTACAGCAGACCCTCAAACTACCGGAAGACAGCAACCTATCGGACCCCCTACTTTCCACGTTCGAATAGAGCACGGGGGGGGGCCGAATTTGAGCGGTATCCACTTAGAGCACGGAGGGGAAAACCGCAGGTCACTCAACAATGGAAAATCGGACAGTGCCAGCATCCTACGCCAGTCAAAGCACTAGACTGTATCAAGATCAAAGGCCCCTATCTACACCGGAGTAGGTGAACAGGCGAAAGAGCGAAGAACGGGCAAGACACTCCCACACATGAGCTCACATACACCAGGGGAACTTAACGGAACACCAAGGGCACACCGCCACACACCTGGGCGTCAGGAACAACAAAAAGGACAAGTTTGCAACAATCTAAATCATGGGGAAATCCGCGGAAAACCAAGGGGCACATCACCACACACCCCGGCATCAAGAATAGCGAAAAGGGAAAGTTTGCAACAATCTTCATCATGGGGAAATCAGCGGAACAACAAGGGGCACATCGCCACACACCCCGGCATCAAGGTCAGCG